GAGAGAGCCCGCTAGGCTGCGTGACAGCCCCAACACACCGGACTTTGTGGTCTAATTTTAAGGGGTCAACACAAAATCCCTTGTATGTATGTATTGGGCGGGCAAACGTACGTTGTACAAAGGCGTTTCAGCTGGACATAAGATTCCAGCCGTCGACGAAACCAAGGTCAATGACTTGTTTCGATGCGCAGAATCGCCTTGTCGCAGGTAGACTGCTGCGATGTGGCCAAAGAATAACACACCGCGCAAGTTCACGTCCACGATGCTAGTCGGTGGCTCCTGTGCCGTTTGTGAGCCCAGCAAATACGGGGGAAGAGAGAGAGGCTTGAGTTCGCGTCGAGGACGAACCAACGAACCTGGTCGAGGCTCTGCAGATCTGTTGACGGGTCGAACAGGCCCTTGGGCTCATATATGCCCGCATTGGCAATGGCATGATCCACCGCTCCATGCTTCTTGTATGCTGCGTCAAACAATCGCAGCAGCTCCTTGTATTTGGAAACATCGGTCTTGACGAATGTCGCCCCAGTTTCCAGAGCTACCTTGCCGCCCAGCTCGTCTTGTAGGTCTCCAAAGACGACGTGTGCTCCGTTCTCACAGGCAAGTCGAACAAAGGCTTCTCCAATTCCACTTGCTCCGCCTATAATTTTGCGTTAGCAGATGGCCGAAAGGCTCATATGTGTAGGTATTTTATGTGTCAGATGGAATATCTCCCGCAAGGAATGGTCCTTCCTACCTGTAATGACGACGGTTTGATCTCGCAAAGAGTGGAAATTCTCCGAAAATTGAATTAGAGACATTTCACAGAAGTTTGCAGGTATAACGACCGTAAGAGTCCCTCTTGTGTTCTAGTGATCATATTCTATTATCATACCACAAAACACAGGGGCCCGCGGATTCTATATTGGCCCCCCCTCTCGGGAGGCATGTGCTGTCTGGAGCGGCGCAGGAGTCGAGGGGTCTCGGCCCGGTAGCAACACCCTTGGAACCGGACTAGATTGATGCGATCGCCCTTCAAGTCGAAGCCTTATCTTTTACCGGGCGAAAAAAATTTAATGGAACGAATATGCAGCAATCTTACATCTATTCCCTTTTGTCGGTGTACTCAGTCCACCGGTATTGGGAAAGGGCGATCTAGCTGCAAATCATGGCGATCTCGTCTGCCACTGGCATCGATGCCTCTGATTCCCAAGACCATGCAGCAGAACCTTATCAGAACGGGCACGTGAATGGCAATCAACTTGAAGCACGTACGGAAGCGCTCGAGGATGACCGTGTCCTTATCGCTGGAGGCGGACCCGTGGGATTGGTGTTGGCGAAAGTACTGAGCTTCTATGGCATAAAATCCCTCGTCCTGGAACGCAACGCAACGACCACAAGGTGAGCCGGCAATAGTCCCATGCATGATCTTTGTGCTTCTACTTCTTTTGCTAAAATAAAATGCTACTCAAGATGGCCGAAAATGGATTTGACCAACGCGAGATCGATGGAACTGTTTCGCAAAATCGGGCTCGCAAACCAACTGCGCAAACAAGGTGCGAAAACTGGCAACTTCCAACTCGAAACACCCATTAAGGCGTTTCTCACTAAACTTGAGTTTTCACAAGGTGTACCGCCCGAGTTCCCAAGCAGCGTCAAGATATCCAAATCGTTGCACGAGCCAGAACCGATCTCCGAATGGCCTCATCCCAGCGTCAACGAGTATCGCAAGATCATTGCCGCCTCGAACGACGGCAGTCTGCCATTGGAACCCTACCAACGCCTTTCTCAAGCAGTGTTTGAAGCTTGGCTCAAGGGTGTGTGCGACAAGGATCCGTTAATCGAAATGAGGTTTGGCTGGAAGGTGGAGGCGACCGAGGAGAGCGATGACGGTGTCGTGACCACTGCAACCAACCTCGCAGAAGGCCGGACATCGTATATCTCATCCAAGTTTGTGGCAGCGTGCGATGGTGCATCCAGCAGAATTCGACGTGGTCTTCAAATCCCCCTAGATGGCGGACCAGTGTATGCTCTCGTCCCCCCCACCCCCCCTTCTCCCAAATCCTCTCCCCAGGTTCATCCATTCATCGATTGTTGATTGTCTCTCATTTGCTGACTGCTATTACTGACAGGCCGACGTACACCCTTTTGATCCATTTCAAGTCTCGTGATCTGACCCGGCTCCATCGCCAGGGTCTGTTCTGGCACATCTTTTTCCTCGACGAGGGTCGCTTTCGTGGGGCCATCATCGCGCAAGACGAGAAAGACACGTGGACAACCCACCTTCACATCCCCATCGGACAGGACCACGAGACGATTGATTCGCATGACGCCGTGTACCAGGTCCTTGGCGGATGGAACGCGCCGTATCCCATCACCATCGATGAGGTCCTAGTCAGGTCGACCTACAGACCGAGCATTGCAATTGCTCGCTCATTTAGAAGCCCCAAGGGACGGATCTTCCTGGCTGGCGACGCGGCTCATCAGAACATTCCGACCGGGGGCTACGGCATGAACATGGGACTGGGAGACGCCCTCGACCTGGGCTGGAAGTTGGCAGCGACAATCAAACAGTGGGGCGGGCCAGCGCTGCTATCCTCATACGAGGAAGAGCGTCGACCAATTGCCCTGACTTCGATTGAGCGCTCTGGAGTCCACAATGCGGTGCATGGTAAAGCTGCTGAGCTGCTGGGAGCACGCGGGTGTCTGTCTGGGCTGGACGCAGAATCGAATCGAGCCGTGCGCGACGCTGTTCATCAGCACTATCAAGAGCACGACGGGGAGAATAAGGACCTCGGCATCGAAATGGGCCAGGTTTACAAATCAGGGATTCTGATCGTCGACGCACGAGAGCCGCTGCCGGAGTGGGTTCCCTCGAGGTACATTCCGAACACATATCCGGGTAGTCGTGCTCCTCACGTGTTCCTCAAGGACGGCACTACACCGATATACGACCTCTACGGCACGTGGTTCACTCTGGTCGACTTTTCAAGCCCCTCTTCATCCCCGTCTGGCGAACAAAACACAGGCAACGCCTTTGTTGACGCAGCCGCCGCCATCGGATTACCGTTGAAACGTGTGCAGCTCCAAGGAGAAGACCATGCCAGGGTGCTGTGGGAGCGGGATTTCGTCCTTGTAAGACCAGATGGACACGTGGCGTGGAGAGGGGACACGACTCCCAGTCAGGAGGATGCCACCAAGATCCTACGGACGATCACTGGCCATGTCGAGCCCAAGACTAAGGCTGGGACTGGTGACGACGGATCAAACGGTGTACATGTTGCAATGGCACCGAAGACGTTTTCGAGCATTGGCACGTTGTCCACCCAGAGCACCAACTACGAGTATGAGAATATGGGGGAGTTCCAGCGGTAGTTGGTGTAGTAGCATTTGAGATGACAGGGTTAGAGATACAGGGGTAACAGTTGAGCAAAGTTGAAGCAGTAGTAGCGCCGAATCCAGGATAATCGGGAATTCGCATAAGAGATCAAGGTCTGTCTGATACACAGAAAGAGAGAGACTGGTCTGGGTTTGTATTCATGGACATAGAAAGAGTATATAGTTTCTCTATGCTACACCCAAAATTTGCAGACACACGCAGACACACGCAGACATACCCACATTACGGTCCGTTTCGGTCCAGTACACTATGGCGACTTGACCTTGACGTGCGCGACCTTTATAGCCTTGGGCAACCGACTCAACCGGTTTGCCTGGTAGATCTCCGACTTGGTCGCATCGACGTGCGCTTGCACACTGTCCCAGCCAATATACGCCACGAAGACCTTACTCGGGGTACTCTCGTAATCGACCTCTTCGAGCGACCAGCCCGAGGAGATTTCGCCCGAGAAGCCGGGCACGCCGTGTGCGCGCAGGGCGCCCAATAATCTGAGTAGGTCGGCCTCGAATGCCACGCCCTCCGTGCTCACCTGGTCGACGGGGTAATAGGCGCGAACGATCTCTGTGACGGGTGCCTGCAGAGCCGGGGTCGGTGGATGGGGAGTAAACGATACGTGGAACGCCTCCGACGTGGACTCAGGGTTCACCATCGACCGCGCGGCCGCCAGGAACTCAGGGTACTCTGGGCGCGCTTGGTAGGCTTTGTGGGCTTCGAGAGAGTCCCAATCTAATCACCATCACCACCACCACCACCGGCAATCCAATCGTCAGTTCAGCCAATCTGGGAAGGATATCGATAGGGTAGGGAGGCAGTGAATTCGCAACGCAACGCAAGTATGTTGTCGACAGGCAGGCCTGGGGCCCGGGTGCTTAAATTACTTACCTAGCATTAAGTGAACGTGCGCCGGATTCTCCTCCTCTATGCCCCAATAGTTCTTCTGGACACCGGGCGCGTGCTTGCCGACCTCGACCATGTTTGCCATGACTTTGCCTTCAGACGTGGAGGTGTCGTTGATGTCGACCCCTGGCCGAAGGGGGAGGAAAGCCACTTCCGTCACGGGAGCCATCTTGTCGTATCTGTCAGGGTCGCGTTGGCGATTCTCGTTCTGAAGCTTCCTCAGCCGGGTGTCACATCGTGTATTGAGCCCAATTATATCAATTTCCCCTTATCCTCGGCTGTCGTGGTGTGTTGGTCACGGTGGAATCGGAAAGACACAATTTGTGCAGCCCCGAGGATGTCGACGTCCGACCACCCAATCGGAGGCCCGGGATTTCAACCTCATGGAGCTCGGCGCCCGCGCAGCCTCGCTAACCGGCACCAAGCAAACCCAACCCCAATCTTTGGTGCTGGCTCCTTAGCACTCCATAGCCTCCTCGATGCTTTCTCTGGGGCCCCATCCCATCCGCTACATCATGAGACAGTCGAAGCGAGGATTAACCGACGTTCATTCGCCGTGCGGCTGAAGTCATTGGCCTCCTCGCGCTATGTTACGAAGCTTACTCTTACCCTCTTTCAAGAACTTGAGTTGTATGATAAAGCCGTCATCATCGCTAATCTCCTGCGCCTCTACCTCTTTTCTCGGCGACGTTTGGCTCAGAATCGTCCCCCGCTTGTTGAAACCACCATGTCGAACCGCTTGGGCCTGATTCCAACCTCGGACCTCACCGAGGATCAAAGATCACTGCACGACGACTTCACCCAATCCATCCAAGCGCGTTACCACTCCCCGTCGCGGTCGCCGCGGCTGATTCTCGACGACGGCACCCTGATTGGACCATACGGAATCCTGCTCCATCATCCTGAAGTGGCGCGGCCGTTCCAGGCCATCGTTAGAGCCCTGCAGACGATCCCCGGCCTGTCTCTGTATGGCCGCGAAGTTGCGATTGCGGTGGTGGGGTCGCGCACGCAGGCCGCCTATGAAAATTACGCGCACCATATCATCGCCACTCAACGGGCCGGGATCACCGAGGCCGAATTACAAGAGATCAACACAGGCAGATGTCCCGGCACGTTGACAGATGAAGGGAAAACCGTTTTCGAGCTGGCGACCGCTCTGGGCAAGCCGGGGCCTCTCGACCAAACGATTTACGACAAGGCGGTGCAGGTGTTGGGCAAGGACGGCGCAGCAGCCGTCATCCATTATACGGGATTTTATAGCTATGTCAGCGTGATCCTCAACGGGTTCGATGCCAAGGTACCTGAGGATGCTCGAGGCTGAAGGTAGAGGCATGCCATTGATGGTACGTAGTGTCTGGTGCTATTTCCTAGAAGGTCTTCTCGACCCATTCAATACTCTAAGCTCTTGCAGTTCTCACAAGAGGAGAAGAATTTGTCGGGCACCAGTGGGCATATGGGAGTCTATGGACGTACTATTGTCGGTGAAAATCTCACCTGCCCCTTTTATCTCTTTCTACAGACCGTTATCTATGCGAACGAGCCCAAGGAGCTTGATCCGTGGACTTGTTTCGATACTCTCATTCCACTCCTAGCGGAGTTTCTTCTCGCACGCTTCAGTGTCGGGAACTGCTGACACATACACTATAAAGCTGCGAAGACGCTAGCCAGCTAAGAGTGTCACGTGTTGAAATAGGTTTGTCACTAGGCGGGTGCTGTAGCCGGTGGGTGGCTAGTGCGTGGCTAGTAATTACATAAGCCTCCGTCGGCACGTGGTGGGGTCTGTCCCGCGGAGCCGTTACCTAGGTGATGCAGCTGGTCACAAAACCACAGTGCAAACACTTGTCGCAGCAGGAGTCATAAACAGCTCGTCGGAGATGAGATACACCCATGCTAATGAGGGGTGATCTTTCATTGCAGGACGACAAGAGGTATTGCTATGTCAGTCTCATCATCACAACGAATCACTGAGTGGCTCAATAATGTCAACCAATCATCGAAATCCGAGATGGTCCACGAGCCTGCGTCTCTTCAGCCTGCGTCTTGCGGCACCTCTGGCCTGAAGCGAAAATCACTACAGATGGAGAATGAGGATACTCCTCGAGCTAAGAGAACGCGGCTAGGTGGCTTGCAGAGCCCACTACTAACTGGCAGCGTCAGTGGGCTTGACCTGGAGGCTGCGCCCGATCTCACTGCACAGTCCTCACATTCATCACAAGCGACAAGCTCTCGCAGCTCAAGCCCTTCGAAACGTCGTCGCACGCTCGCCATACAATTCTCGGGCCCCATTCTTCGAGTTCTCGATGTTGACGAGGTCGCAAGGTGGAGGGTTACCGGAAGATCCACTGAGGTGCCTTTGCTCGAGAACCTGTTCACAGCCATTGCTAAAACCGACGATGCCTGGCAAAAATCACTGAAAGAGGAAGACTTAAGAAATATTCATGCTGAACTGAAAAGATGTCTTCGCAGAAATGCCAATGAAGATTCGTGGAGCGATTGGGTGGTACTGCCAATATTAAAATTGGCCAGAAAGTTGTCAAACTGGCGGGAATACGTTGATATTGTCAATGTGTATGTATAACATGTTTAGCTAAATTGATCGCTAACATTCTGTAGCAAATCGATCGATGTTACCCCTACCACCCTTCTCAGTGGCCCATACAAGAAACGGGTAGATTATTCCCTGGGCCTGGAAGTCGCAGACACCGATACATTCCTTGAGATCCAACAGTCACTTGAGCACTATACCGTGTCGCAAAGTGATCACTGGATGCTCAACGACCGGGCCCTCTTCTGTCACGTCGAGATCAAGGCAGAGTCGGACCCAGCCACCGCAGAATCTCAGCTTAAGGTTTGGTGTGCTGCCGGCTTTCGGAAGCAGGAGAGGATGTATAGACAAGCAAGACGCAATGAAACAATCACACCGAAACTGGCACCGCAGCCTCTGTGGATTTGGGAAAAAGACAAAGTGCATCTGTCCGTTGCGGTTATGGACTCGACAGAGAACAGGATCTACTTCCTCAATCAAAAGACCTTCTTCGTCGACAGGGATGAACCGAAGTCCCTGCGACCGGTACTAGGCATGATAGTAACGATTATGGACTGGGGCTACACCCATTACCTGCCTTGGTTCCGAGACTTCATCGGACGAGGGGGCTTGAATGACTAGATTTTATGACTTCATGTGAATGGGCTCAATACGAGTAGGCCAAACAACAAACGCGATTTCTATTACTGCCGCTAAGCGTTCTCGACGATGCAAATATCTCCCTCTCCAAGTTTCCCATGAATTGTTTCTCGATTACTGAACGATGCTGGCCAAATCGCTGGAACATTTTCGCTTACCAATAAGATGACGGGCGGATTTCAATTCGCGTAGCCGGTCGCTTCACTAGACTAGCACCCCAGGATTCCCCAGACTTATCCGCCTCGAGAATATTGTGAACCTCGCTCAAAACGCAACTACGACAGTCTCCCATTATGGTTCAAAACAAGAGCTTGATCTTCAGAAGTGTGCCAACCCATGCACCGATTCCAAATGTGCACCTGGGTATTGAGGATCGGGAATTCGATCTCACAACCGATCCGCCTCGGGGAGGGGTAACCGGCAAGACACTCTATGTCAGCCTCGACCCTTACATGAGAGGGCGGATGCGCCCTGCAGAGACGACATCATATTCTGCTGCGTACACCATTGGAGAGCCCATGATTGCCTACGCGCTGATCCAGGTCATCAAATCCAACAACGACAAGTACGTCAAGGGAGACATCGTATACGGTCAATTCCCAGTTGCCGAGTATAGTGTCATTACCGAGGAACTCCTCTCGCGCGACCTTGTCCGCAAAGCTCACCCGATTCCCAACGCGCCACTATCCAACTGGCTCAGTCTACTAGGCTCGACCGGTCTCACGGCGTACTCGAGTCTCTATGAGCTCGGGGCCCCGAAACGGGGGGAGACCATCTTCGTCTCCTCCGCTGCTGGCGCTGTCGGTTTGTTCGTCGGTCAGATTGCAAAGATAGAGGGCTTGGCTGTTATTGGTAGTGTCGGCGACGATGCAAAGCTAAGTCTGATCAAGGAGGTAGGCTTCGATGACGGCTTCAATTACAAGAAGGAGAGTACGGCCGATGCTCTGCGAAGGCTGGCACCCCAGGGCATCGACATTTACTACGACAATGTCGGAGGCGAGCAGCTAGAAGCAGCTCTTGGCGCCATGAACAATTTTGGGAGAATCAGTGGGTATCGCCATTGTCCTACTGGCCCTTTTCCGACTAATTGTCGTTTTCTAGTTGAATGTGGCATGATCTCTCAGTATAACAAACCTCTTGCCGAGCAGCATGGTGTGAAGGGCCTTATGAACGTCATCGCGAAGCGACTTAGGATGGAAGGCTTTGTCGTCACAGATCCACGGTTCGGGCCCAAGTGGCGGCAGCAAAGGGACGAGAAGATGCTCCAGGTAAGAAGCCGAGTGGTTGCCCCGAATAAATTGAGGACATTGACAGAAACCTGACATGTGCTTTTTGTAGTGGCTGAGCGAGGGCAAGCTGCGAAGCATAGAACATATCACCGAAGGGATCGAAAATGCCGCACAGGCCTTTGTTGATATGCTCGAGAGTAACAGGGCGGTAGGAAAGGCGATCTTGAAAGTAGCGGATCCGGAGTGAAAAACAAAGTCCCCCTATCATACAGTCTTGAAATTGTTTGATTTCGTGTTTGAATTAACATCTCCTTATCCACTGCATTCCCATCACTACCCACTTCCTCTGTCTGTGCTCATTTACAAGTGACCAAATTCGCCTCGTATGCAAAGGATGATTGATCTTGCTCTCAACATTTTAGAAGATGTTCCTGAGGAAAGCCAAAACCCAGTCCTTGACACCTCTCTTCTTCTTTTCCTCTTGCAGCTCCATGATGCTGGCGCGTCTCTGTTCATCTGGGACATTTGGACCACTGATATCGACTTGAGTGTCGCGCATACCCGTGTAGATATCAATGTCCTTCGCTCTGATGAACAATGGACGGTCTTGTGGTCGGGCAAACCAGCTATACACCTTCCAGCACAGGTACAAAAAGATGAGTAGAGGGCCGGCGAGGTAGAGCTGGAAAAAAGTGTCGGCGTCCAGGTAAGGACCACCGATGGGATAGAGCGCAACATAAAACTGGGCAATAAGGCTGATAACGTTGATGAACAAGCACACCCACGAACCCCAGACTCCGAAGGCGGCTCGGAATGGCAGTTCGTCCAAGGAATGTCCCTGTGCTTTCCTGCAAACGGTCAGTGACTCAGGCACGGGCCAGAACTGGGTCCGGGTGCTTACCATGCCGCACGGAAGCGAATATGAGCCAGGGCAATACCGCCGTAGATGAAGAGAATTGACAAACCCGACAATGACAGAAGCCAATTGAAGATGGTGCCGCCGTTGTCTGCCAGATTAATGAATGCCAGACAGCCGAAGAGTAGCTGCAGAATGACAACGGCCACGGGTCGGCCCTTCTTGTCCACGTAGGCCAGAATCTTCGGTCCCATTCCTGTATATAGATTTAGCGTGATAGAGAAAGTACAAGAGTGCCCACCTACCATTAGCAGCAAGTGCCTGAATTGTTCGAGTCGAGCCGAACGTGCAAGAGTTGGCAACGCTCATGACTGCAATCAAGATGACAGCGTTGAAGATGGACGGGAGGACTTTGATGCCAGCCAGCTGAATTGCAATGACAAAAGGCGAATGTCGCGAAGTGGAGCCTTCACCACTATACAAGGGGCTGTTCTCCGGTACGATCAAACCAACGAGGAAGAGGTTGACGATGTAGAAGATGAAGATTCGCCACACAACCTGTTTGGAGGCCCGTGGAATCTCCTTTTTGGGGTTGGCCGTTTCCGCAGCAGCCAGTCCAGTTAGCTCAGTGCCAGTGTAGGCGAAAGCTGCGGTGACAAAGACACTGCAGAAGCCATGGAAGCCATTGAGAAATGCCTCATAAGGGTGATGCCTGTTTCAAATATCAGCCTCGCTACCGAGAGCCATTACAAAGTGGCAACTTACCAGTATCTTGCACCAATGTAGCCTCTGTCATCTGTTGGGACACCGCCGCAGTCGATTATTATTCCAAGAATCATAAACCCTATGCAAGCAATGATCTTGAGAATACTGAGGGCAAATTCGACCTTGGTTCGATCAGCACTACGTCGCACGACTTTGGAATGAGCGTACCTCGCCATATCCCCTCACGCCAAAGAATTGGATAGCAACCAAGGCCACGAGCAATGGAACGATCCAAGCGCTGTTGTTGATACCCTCTGATCCAGGCCAGTAGTGGATAATATTACAGGCGGCAGATACTTCGAAGGGAAGAACAGTCAACCAACTGATGGCGTACTCCCAGCCGCACGCAAACCCAAATGAGGGATCAACGAAGCGGCAGATGTACATTGTGAAAGCGCCGTTGATCGGATACATAACGGACATCTCGGCAAGAGCTTGCATCATAAGGTAGCTAAAACGGACAGTGTGAGCCAGAGATCAATACCGAAAATGGCGTCGGAGACACATACACCATGAAACCTAAGAGCTTGTTAGCCACAACTTTGCATTTCCTGTTGTAGTGGACGACTTACCGATGATCATGAAACCGAGAAGTACAGAAGCAGGTCCACCAGTCTGAAAGGCACCACCAGAACCAATGAAGAGACCGGCACCAATAGCACCACCACTATAAGAAAGGCGAGTCAGTATCTGCATTTGAAGCACTCGGGTCCTATACTTACATGGCGATCATTTGCATGTGTCGGCCCTTGAGATCACGGTGCAGCGCGTACTGGTCGCCCTGCACCATAGTCTGATCTTCTGGGTCGACGCTGAATTGTCGACCCCTGACATGAGCCGCGAGGCTACCCGGCTCATGGGCTCCATTGTCAGTGGCATATTTCTCGTTGAGAGTATGGGATTTGTTATCGGAACTCATCTTGGCGATTGTCCAGAGAGCAGAATGAGAGGAAACAAGAACACGATCAGAGGACGACCGCGGTGACCCTGGTTTTAAAGCAACCAAGCTTCACAGGTATCAGGCAAGCACCACAAGCACGCTTAAGCTCTAAAACCATTAGCGACAAGCAGGTACGGCAAATCATAGATAGGAGTCCTACGGTGGTCGCATTCAGAGTGGTTCGGGTGGGTTGGATCCTTGCACTGTCCACACAGACCATTGGTGATCGCCACGATAAGGTGACATCGTTCCGGCGCGCCCTCATTTAACGAACCCTGCCTCGGCTTTGCGGAGAGTAGGGCATTCCTGGGTGGGGGAAGACGACAGAAGCAATCGCTTGCATCAACCGATGTGGCGTATCTCTCATGTGAGCTTCGATGAACCTTTCTATGACACCACGAGACCTAATTGAGGTTTTTTCCCGCAGGTCTAGATATGCAGTTTCGTGATGGCGACCAACCGCTGGCACCCATACACACCGCCAACCACCAATGGCCCAGGCGCAACGAAATGGCCAGTCACCCACCGTGTTGCAGGATTCGACGTCGATCCCTTGCCCGGGCATGATCCGTATGACCAGTCGGTCTTCCCTCGAAGCCATCGACGCCTGCTCGTGTGTTATGCGCACTGTGATTGGCCGGACGGAGCGAGTTCTGGGATTGCTGGCAAAATTGCCCCAGGTGGCACAAAGTAGCTCGGAGTGGCTCGCAGTGGCTCAAAGTGGATTGTCAAAAGATAAGGATGTTGCAGTGGCGGGGGGGTGCCAAGCCTCTGTCAAGAGCTTCCATGCCTTCTATGCGGTCCGCGTGGTTTAAATTGAGCGAGGGCCCACAAAGAGGAACTTTGATCAATAATGCACCGTGAGGGGTTGGTTGACCAACCTCGTCCCGTCAAACGAACAACACCAACGCATTCATCGGAGTCGGAATGGGTCCGGCCGAAGTTGGTGGTAGTTCTCCAAAACGGTACCATGAGGAACAAGATGATGACGATCCTACCGTCCGATGAAGCTTACGCTGCACAGAAACTCTGACCGCAGATCGACCCTCACAGTATCGTCATAGCCTCTCCTAGAAATTGATCAAGGGCAACGATGATGTCCGAGAAGGGAAAGACATTCTGAGGGCGACTAATGATAGGTGCGATCACCAAGAAATCAATGCAGTGACTGGTAACCAGCCATCGGATACGCTTGCCTGACTAGCGAACAGGTGGACTGACACTTTCAGATGTGCAATCTTGTAACTCTTGCAACAGCTTCTTCATGACGCAAGTTGCCGATCTGTGATACAGAGCAGAACGCAGAGATAACGGGAACGACGTCAAAAAAGCTTGATATGGTGAAGAAAACGACAAGACAACGACAAGACAGATAAGCAAAATGACAAGAAGCTAAGATTTAGGGCATCGCAGGCGCACCACAACAGTTCCCTCACCACCCCTTCAGGATCGCAACAAGCGCACCTAAGATGCTTAATCACCCCCCAGCACTCGTGAACAGTTTCCTGAGCCTCAATTCTGTGGGCGCCTCTACCGTGGACGACTATAGCCGGTCCACGACCAGACGGAAGGCATTTGACAGTCGAAAGATGTTGGAAAAGACATAAACCAACCCAAAAGGTTATCTGCACATACATCCGGTGGTGAGCGAGAGTGGAGAATCAGGCCGGTTCTACCTTTGCATTTGACACGACAAGGCGACATTCTTCCGAGCGATATCAGGGAGTCATTCCGTCAAGATACATAAATCGGGTAAACAGTGTTCCCCAGTTGCGCCCATCGAGGTGCATCGAGACGAGTGTGACTCTTCGCTTCACCTGGGACAGCCTTGGAATCCTTCATCAGTTGACAACAAAGACTCCGCTGCCTCGGCCGCAGCAGTGACAATACATGTGGGTGAGTGGTCACCTTCTTTATCCACCGCCATGGTGTAGATGCACTGTTAGCAACTTATACAAGTACCTGTAGACCTACTTGGAGGCGTGGAGATGGGGGGAAGAGCACCCTCCTTGACCATCTCCAATAGGACAGATCCCCACGATCAGCTACAGTATGGTTGTCAGCAATGCAACCATCAAGAACTCCCATGCAGGCCAAACGAGGTTTTTTGTAACAGTTATGCACAGCTTACACGATACACCACTTGCCAAGCGTCGCACCTTGTACCTCATCTGGCATGTTCAACCGTGAAGCGAGTTTCCTGGCCTATTCAGGTTTATTAGCCCGGCACGATTAGGCACCTTGGCACTTTTCAAGCGAACCTGCCTTGGAAGGACCATGGCGGCGCACGGCATGCCCCGATTGACGACTACAACTAAGCGCCATCACAGCAACCAGCACGAGTACATACAAGCAAAATGGGCCGCTAACAGATCCAGAACCGGCATCTTCACGCGTGACCCGGGGAAAGCGATCTACTTGTACAAGTATGGATATCACTCGGCCCTCACACCACCCCAAGTGGGGGCAAATCTTCCAGCGGGGGCGATTGTGACCGTCTCTTACCCAGGTCTCGACCACCTCCTCACCCATGCTAGCCCTTAGCTTCGGGCGTCCAGTGGGCCGGTTACATTGCAAAAATGACGGCGAGACAATCCCAGACCCAACAGGGACCACCTCTGACAATCACAATATACTTGTCCTACTTGTACATTTTCCGAGTACGAGGTCTAAGTACGTCCCATCAGAAGATCCACAAGCACTCTTGACCATTGAGCAACCCATGTGCGAGGCTGTCAGACGGGACTGTCAGGGACATAAGCTCAGCCTTACTGGCAACAGTGCGGAGTTGATATGGTGGGCGGTACCCACGGACGGGGCGAGCTCCAAAGCTTCCCGATCGACCAGATGACCAGTGCCTATCAGGACAACTCCGAATGAGATGGCGCGATGCTTTTCACTCTCAGTGACGGTAACCTCGCTGAGGGTCCACCCGCCTGCGAAACTCACGGTATGGCATACAAGTATGTGCTGGCTACATTTGCCGTCAACAACGACTTCTCGATCAGTGTCTAACCTGAAAAGGCGTTCAACTAGGCAGCCCAGAAACGAATTCAATTTGTCAGGACCAGACGATGAAGAGTCTCTCTAACAGCATAGGAGACAGACGTTGCGAGGGACCAACATTCAAGAATGGGCTGATCAGGCTGATCGTGCCCGCTAGATCTTTTAGGGCCTCCCCATGATATTGTCTGTTGCAGAAACCAACCCAACAAGGTTGACCCACTCGAAATCTTCCTCCTTTCTTCTGCCCGGCCCACCATACTGACCCGTACCGCTTCGAAGCTTACTTGTACATGCCATGATATCTGGAAATCTGCTTGATTTGTGATCCACTACTACACATTCAGCTATGCCGCAGGCTTGGCCACGGTGGTCAAGGTGGTGATACATCGATCATCTGGTGAGAATCATTCGGGAACTAAATGCTGGAGCAACCATACCGCTCCATAATCAACTTCGTCTTTGAGGAGTCTTCGGGGAGGAGCCAGCCTTTCTTCTGGAAAAGTTCCAGAATCTTGGCTCGTCCCTCCAGAGCTTTTTGGACATCAGGCGTCTTGAAAGACACCTCGACAATTGGTTCAAGTGTCGCGTCCGTTTCGCTCTTTCGAATTGGCCATACTTCAATGAAGAGCTTGGATCCGTCCCATCTGCCTTTGAACCTCTTTGCGTGTACCGGGCCATAAATGATGGATTTCTGGACATGATCCGTACCCCAACTGTCTCTCACCCAGTTCCTGAATTTGCTGGGCGCGTTGGTGCTGAGGAATATGCGCGAGTCGTCCACACGTGGCAGCTCCATTCCGTCGAAATCCTTGGCGGAAACCTTCACGTCGGAGCTGACGGAGAGAGTCTGCTTCTGGTATCCTACTTCAACCTGGGCTTTGTACACTGTTGTGGTGTCGAACCCTTCCTGCAGAGCCGTCTCCAGTGCCATGTCGATGCTACCTCCCGCGATTCTCGCATCTCCCTCGTCAATTGCATAGCGCTTCTTGTACGTCAACTCAAAGTCCTCTTCTCCTTCTTCTTTTCGAATGCGAAGATTCCAGCCACTGGTATAGAGGTCTCGTTCCTTTGTGTCGAGAAATTGGATGTTCATCTTCTTGGCGCTCGACTCGACATGAAACTCTGTTACGATGGCGCTGTCGAGCTTGTTATTTGAGGTCAGCACTTCCGAGGGCTTGATCAGAATCTTGACCTCGTAGTCAGGGACAAGCTTAGGCGCCATGATACTGCATTTGTTCAAGCTGTTGTGGAGGATTATGAGGCTGCGCATTATTCGACGGCACTCGAGAGTGACCGGGAAAGAGTTGATATATACAACAGGCTCTCATCTCCTGTGGGAAGGGGTCCAATGGCCACTTTTGATCCTGATGAGGTTTGGATACTTCGTATCGACTGCTTGGCCGGTGAAGTGGTTGTTCAGCTTGCTCTAGAATCGCCACTCACGAGACACGGCTACCGTGGAATCGTTACCTTTCACGATCAGGCCCGGATATGTGCGTGTTTGCTACATTCGAGTCCGCCATCGCCGTCTCAGCTGTACAAGTACACACTTTATTCAAAGCAATAGATTATCTCGCAGTCCCTTGTGTTGTGCGAATTTCCATGGACGGGGACATTACCCATGTCAGGCACATATGAGCTCAGCTCCATCCAGTTTGTACCCCCCATCGCCATCCTTCGCCCCTTGCACCACTTTTTACAGCCCTGGTTCGGTTTGCTTCCTTGGCTGACCCCATCGATGGATACAAGCAGGCGAATCTCAGCTCAAAAGCTGCCAAGGGAGCTGAGGCGTCGAGCGAACCCGTATCCTTCAGCCCGGCTCATAACCATCACATTCTGGGTCTTGAGCCGATATGTACGAGTCTAGGTGATATCTCAGGGGGAGCTCAATGTCTACTCCTTGACACAAACCAATTGGCAACAATTCGACGCGGGGCTAATCATCCAAGTCAAGACGCTTGTTTCACCACGGCGATATTCAGGCGGAGAGCAGCCGAACTGATGGAATTTATATCCTTCTACATGCTCTTGCTATGATTGATTCGGTTATCCTAGTGTGAACAGCGCTCAATGAAAGCAAACTATCGGTGGCCACCCATTCCAACATCCTTTGGTTCTTCAGCCACAAACCTCACAAGAATCAACTTCTGTTCCTCTTGTCATGAACGTGCCTGGTCAAACCTCCTACCAACTTGAACAGTGAGTCTGGCCAATTGTGCGTCCTAATCACCTCCGCCCAATAAGCTCAGTCTGCATTTCGGATACTGACCTTGGCCGCCTGATATCTTCGAGCCTTGTCGTCGCACGACAGCCAGGATAAGCCAGGTAATGTGGGTGGCCCTAGTATCGCTTGGTCTCAACTTGCGAGTATCTTCCTCATCGTCTCTCTTTCCTCGCCTTCCTTGTCGCCAAGGGTATTCTCGTGTCTCATACGAGACTCCCGTGGAGATAATTGGTGGGCAAGAGACTCCCTAGCCCTCTTGGTCCAAGCGAAATGGTGTGCTACAGAAACTACTTATAGCAACGAGATGACTTAGTAACCCACCACTCCGGGGCGCAATGGGGCTCTATCCTTCGCTGACCACCCTTGGCTGCCCCATGATGTGCACTTCGGGTAAATCTGATTCTCGATTACCCTCACCTTCGTTCTCGTATTGTCCTTTACACATTTTCCAATAGTGGCAAGGCGCTCGATATGAAAAGCTTGGGCGCCGCGGCTCGATTAGCTGTTTCACGGAGACATGCCGTTTTTAGCTTGAAATCCTCATTCCTGGCTCGGTTCTTTGGTGATCGATGAAGCAAGTATCATGTCCCTTCGACAACATGGGACGGATCGGGACATCTCAACGGAGAAGACAAAAAGTCTTTATACGACGCCGAGAACAATAATGCAAAGATGCTCTGGTTGCTGATCGACATAAAGAATTCCAGAAGCAGGTTGGTTTCGCACTGAAGCTGTACTCTGATTGATTCCTCAAAACCATTCGACCTTGGCTACCCCCAATCGGGAAATTCTAAATTTGGTGTTGTCCTTGGTGGCTTCTAGCGGTTCAATAGGACTGGATTTATTGGTGCACAAGACGAGTGTTTGTCAACACTCTTCCCTGTGGTCAGCCGCGCCAAAGATGATGAGAATTCTCCAAGGACCCAGAAGAATAAGTCGCGGGGTGGCCGGACGCAACGACGGCACGGGCGGGAACAAGCCTATTGGTTTCTCTGGACGAAGTAAGAGTTGTGGATCACGAAACTCGAGTTCTGGCCATCTGGCAGGATGACTCTCATGCATGCTCAGTGATCTGCTATATCGCAAGGATTCCGTGATAGTTCGGCTCATGCAGCAGTGAGATTGTGCGAGGAGTTGTTGGGGTGATGAGTGGCTGAAGCATGGCGTTGGCATGTTCTATATATCCCTCGAGGTCTCGTCTCAAGGAGACTGCCGGCTGTTGGCCTGGTTGGGAGCATATCCAAGATGGCATTGTCAGACACTAACCTCTCAGAACTTGAAGCCGTCGCTGCCGCGTGTCTGGTGAAGGCAGGCTTGCTCAACCGCAATCTCGAAGCCTCCAAGCTTGTTAACGGACACTCGAAGTCTCTGTACCAAAATGGAACGGAATTACGAGATATGCGGCTGTCGTTGTTTGAATCAGTCCAAAATCTTCTTCTGATGGTCACTCCGCCCGAATATATTTTGACCCAAGGACTCTCCGCAAGCGTGGGTGCTCATCTGCTCATGTACTGGGGTGACAGCTGAACCCATTCCAGATCATGGACCTTACCGCGCTGCGGTATATCAACCGCTTTTCTGTTGCTAAGGGGGTCCCGGCCGACGAGAAGATATCTTACGAGGCGCTGGCTCAAAAGGTCGGCACCGACGAGTCGCAAATGAAACGAGTCCTGCGCTATGCCATGACGAAGGGTATCTTTGTCGAGGTCGATGGTGGAGTGGCGCATTCCGAGACATCGCTGCTGCTCCTCCAGGATGGCATTGCCACTTTGAGCCGTTATTCCAGCGATCGAGGATGGCCGATCGCAAGCCGTTTCAACGATGCGATCGAAAAATGGGGCCACGGCTCACCAGAGCCAAACGAGACGGCGTTCAATCTTTTCAAGAACACCGATCTGCCCATGTTCGAGTACCATGAGCAGCATCCTGAGTTTGGTGCCGATTTTCACGCCGTCATGAATCAGTTCACAAAGTCGCCGCCACTGTCGCATCAACACATCAAGTCGGCCTATGAATGGAGCAGCCTATCCCATACAACAATCGCCGATGTGGGCGGTAGCCTCGGCCATGCGAGCATTGCCATTCTCGAGACCAACCCGTCACTCACCTGCATTGTCCAGGATCTCCCCAAGACTGTCGCCCAGGCCACAAATCCCTCGACCTCGATCGTCCCTGCGCATATGAAGAGCCGGATTAGCTTTCAAGAGCACAGTTTCTGGGATCCTCAGCCTGTAGTCGCCGATATTTATTTCCTCCGCATGATCTTCCACGACTGGGCAGATAAGTATGCCAAGAAGATCCTACAAGCTCTTCTCGTAGCCATGAAACCTGGCTCGAAGCTACTGATCATGGACTATGTCACCCTGCCGTACGGCAATCTCAAGATCGGAGATGAGCGAAGAATGCGCATTCGGGACATGCAAATGATGGTGATGCACAATGCGCTGGAAAGGGACGAGGGCGAATGGCGACGTTTATTTGCTGAGACGGATTCTCGACTGAAACTGATCAAGATACGCAAGCCCACCGGAAGCGCACTGTCGCTGCTCGAAGTGGTTTTGGAGGAGCGCAGGGATTCTGTGCTTCAGTCTTGAGTCTCTCCTGACACCAGAGAGGTACGACGGAGCTGGCTGCAAGGATATTGTGGACATGCAGCAATCCCTGGGTTGGACTGCAACGACGACTTAGGTCAGAGATGCTTTGATGCTTAGACAGGGTCAGATTGAAGACACCCCTTCATCGACGCATGCTGCCGTGCTCGTTTTTGTTTTGTAAAATATCTAACCTCGATTCACCGGACTGAATAAACGTGTAAAGTTGGCAATATCCGCGACATTGTCAAGGCTCCAGGATGCTTCAATCGCCTTTTGCGCAGTCTGTTTTCCAAGAATCAGTACTGCTTGGTCCAAAAACTTGTCCTCCAGTCCCTGTTTTGTCATGGGTTTAGCCAAGGAGCCCGTTGCATGTTTGACATGGATCTTCTTCTCTTGGGAGCCGTTCGAAAGATACCTCAATTTCAAATGCGCTTCATCGTCACGAATAGCTTCGTTAGTTACCACCTTAACCTTGTCTCTCACGGACGCGACCGCATCATCATGGCATGCCTGATCCGAAAACTGGATAGGCCCAGCACGCCCATGGACTAGTGCGACCGCACATCCGTGATACAACGAGAAGATGGTTTCGAGGCCGGCTTTTGGATGCTTGATCGAGCACAGCCGCACGCATTGGGGATTTACCACCACCTCAACGGCCTCCAGCTTCCCAGAGATAAACTTGTCTTCCGCAAATGCTTCCAAACAGCCATCAATGAGTGGGTGAATGACGATTCCACAGGGATAGGGCTTGAAAGTGTTCTCGAGGATCTGCCATTTCCGATCTTGTGCAATTATCGAGATCAGTTGTTCGTTGACTGTCGACGATACCAGCTTTGCCCATGATTCAAGAGACCTTTCACAGCTCTGAAATTCACGGAATGCAAGATTCGCTGCAAGAATACCATTTTGCGCGGCTCTCCCCATGTGTAAGGTCTTCGTATCAGTCCCGAACATGGCCCTGATCCCTCCGGCCATACTGCAGGCATGCCCGAGCGCCGCGGCAAATCGGCTCGGATCAAGTTTTAGTGCCTTTGCAATCGCTGCCGCTGCACCAAAGGATCCGGTTGTGCCAGTGATATGCCTGCAACACTTAGCTTCCGTATTTCAGGGCTGGCATTGTGCTTACCATCCATCGCGATAATGCCCTGGAGATATTGCATTTCCTACAGCGCATTGCGCTTCAACCCCACAAATGAAGGCAAGTAAGAACTCCCTGCCTGATAGGTGATGGTGTTCCGCCCAGGAGAAAAGCGCTGCCAGTGGTGTTCCAGAAGGGTGAATCACCGTTCGCAGGTGCGTATCGTCATAGTCAGCTGCTGTGAGGGCAATTCCGTTGAGCAGTACAGCATCTTCAACGCTCGCACGCTCAGCTCTGCCCAAGAGACTGGCTTGATCAGTCTG